CCACATGACCAAGATAGTGCACTCGTCCCTGCCCAAAAACATATTTGGAGGGCTTGGCCGAGAGCTGATTCTGCCTTAGCACATCTAGTGTTAGCTTCAAGTGTAAAAGATGCTGCTCCAAATCAGAGCTATAGATAAGAATGTCATAAAAAATACTAAAATGAACTTACGAAGGTAAGGCCTGAATATGTCATTCATAAGTGATTGGAAAGTTGACGGTGTGTTGGATAGACCAAACAGCATGATTAAGAACTCGTAGTGGCCATCGTGAGTCCTGAAAGATGTCTTATGCACATTGTCACTTTGAACCCGGATCTGAGATCCAACTTTGAGAAAACCCTAGCCCCTTGCAGCTCGTCTAGCAACTCATCGATCAAGGGAATTGGAAACCGGTCCTTAACAGTTATGCAGTTCAGTGCCTGGTAATCCACACAAAACCGCCAGGAATCGTCCTTCTTCACTAGTAGAACTGGGGAGGAGTAGGGACTATTGCTGGGTTGTATGAACCCCTTTTGCAGGTCTCAGACCAAGTGCTCGATTTCTTGGTGCTGGTAGTATGGGTACCGATAAGGCTGTACATTGGCTGGTTCTGCCCCTGGTACAATGGGAATCCGATGGTCTTGAACTCTCTCGGGAGGGAGCCCTTGTGGTTCTTGAAAGACATCGGTGTACTTGGCTAAAATTGCTTGCAGCCGTGGATCTGGACTGCCCATTTTACCTTCATTGTTCGTGGGCTTCAGATGTGGGCCAGGTGTGCAGGCCCCTTTGAACATCAAGGTGGGTCGGCTTTGGTCCCAATTGGTTTTGATTATAGAGCTGAGGGTAGCTGGTCGTGGAACCAGCAGCCTGGAGCTGCTTAGAGTTATGGTGCGATTCCCCCTTTGAAATTCCATGGTTAGTTTGGACCAGTCACAAACCACCCGCCCCAATTGTTGCAACCACTGTACCCCCATTACAGTGTCAGCCCCACTAAAGGCCAATGTGTATAGATCAATGCGAAAGATTTCCCCTTGGATGGCTAGCTCCATGTCTTTATAGACCCCTTCAAATGGTATTTGACTACCGCTGGCCACTTGGACATTGAATTTAGAGGTAGGTCTAATGGTCACCCCCATCTGAACGGCCAAGTCATCTGAAATGAAATTCATGGTACTCTCACTGTCCACCAAAATTAATACCTCCCGACTCATCAATCTAGCATTGACACACATAGTTTGGGGTGACGTGATGCCTATGAGGGCCTGTATGGGAATCTCGGGTGGGCCAAGGCCGAATATCATATCAAGGCTAGTTGGGCTGTCTTCTTCAAGGCCTTCCACCGCCTGCTCTCCCGCTTTTGGTCCATCTATTTGCAACAAGAAGGCCTGTTAGGCCTTACATTTGTGACCTGGGCTGAACCGCTTGTCACAGTTATAACATAAGGCTTTCTCCCTACAAGCCTGCATCTCGGTCCATGTTAGTCTTTTGAAGGGGATGATGGTCTTAAAGCCCTGGTTCTTTGGTTTAGCGGGCCCGACAGTGGCTAGGTCTGGGCTGCTTCTGTCTTTAGGGCTGTGCCCCATCATAGTCGTTCTCAAGAGAGATCCTTGAGGGCGGCTCAATGGTCTTCTGAGTCTGCCAAATTTTTCTTCATAAAGTCTGGCCAGGCCTACAACAACCATGACCGTTGGAGGTTGCATGGATTTCACCTCCACTCGGATATCCTCCCTTAACCTGTCGATAAAACTGCCCAACAGAGCGTTTTTCGGCCACCTCTATACCCTCGAGGATAAATGATCAAACTCCACCTGATATTCCCTCAGTCCCAGTCTGTCTCAATTTCGCCAGTTGTTCATTGTAGTTTTTGAACCCAGTGGGTCCAAATCGCACACATAGGGCATTGGTGAAATCAGCCCAAGTTACTTGAGGGTGTGACCGGAAAAACCACTGGAACCAGAGAATTGCTTCTCCTTCCACATGGATAGCGGCGACTGATACCCTCTGATTCCCTGGTATTTCGCGGCATTCGAAGTATCTCTCAGCCCTATAGATCCATGGTACAGGGTCCTCACCTGGGAAGTTTGGGAAAGTGATTTTGGTCTGCCGCAACACTCCGTTCCCTCTAGATCTGTTGCTGGGCTGGCTGCTGCCCTCTCCTTCCCCATCTGCGTTCTCACTGACAGGCGCCTTCTCTAGCTTGGCTAGGACTACTGATAGTGCCACCTTGATCTCAGTAATATCCCCTTCTAGTTTCTCGATTCTATCTTCACTAACGGAAGCTCTCGTTCCCACCATGGTGTCGTCCCAAGATTGGGCTCTGATACCACTTGGTAGGTTACTGCCTACCTCAGGAGCTTCTTTGAGGGAGCTCAGTCCTCCTACAGAAAGAAACAAAAGAGAGGAATGGATTGGTGCTCAAAAAGGTAATCCACTTTACTGCAATTCTATTATTTATAGCCCATTACATCACATGGGGGACTGATTCAGTTGTAACTAACTAGCTGATGTGGCCCTCTCACATAGGTATCCGGATTAGGCTGTATGGGTATTGGTGTGTTCGGAAGCGCGTCGTTAAACACTCTGGAACACCAGTTTAATTATTTATAAAATTTTTCCGATTCTCAAACACCTACTGACGCAGTAAAGGGATGAGAACGAGTTGTATCCACAGGGAAGTGAGGGAAAAATTAATATGTACTTAGATCCAAACAAGAGAATATAATCGAGAATTGCAAAAAATAAGAAAATAAAATCTATTATTGCTGAAATTAAATGATTCGGAATTAAACAAAACTATAACTAAAATTCAAAATTTAACAAAGTGCAGAAATCAACAAAAGAAATAAAAGAAATAAACAAAGTTGATCCAGAATTCGGATCCAGTGGCGGTAGCTGCAGATCGGCTGAATAGCTTGCAGGAACCCCTCCTCAAGAACTGGGTGTCCTTCCTTTTTACAGCCCTCGAACCCCTCGAGACACCTTAGCTTTGAACCAGACAAAAATCAGATTTGCAAAACAGAAAAATGAATAAGAATTAATTCTAAAAGAATGTAGAAATAAAAATAACAGAAAAGAAAATGAAGAAAATAAAAGAGTGGTTGATCAGATCCAGTGGTGGCAGTTGCAAATTGGTTGAATAGCTTGCAGGAACCCCTCCTGACAAGAACTGGGCGTCCTCCCCTTCTACAACCCTTGAACTCCTCAAGAAACCTTAGCCTTGTTAACTGGGTGAATTGACCAACCCCTTCTACAAGGCCCCTGGGACCCTTTTTATAGAGAAGGGTGGACACAACTGGAAATAGGGAGAAAGATGGGGGGCGGCAGCTGGGATTCAGCAAAGTTAGGGATGCCCTAGGGTTTCTAATGGATGGCTAAGATGGTTTCGGGGTGATCCTATGGCTGAAAATGGAAGGAGAGGGCACCCAATATTATGTAGGGCTGAGATTTGGGCGCCTAGAAATGGGGGGTGTAGATTAGAACATCTATGGTTGAAGGGTTAAGATTAAAAGAATATGTGGTGCCCTAGATTGAATGGTTGGGATATAGGATGGAGGGAGTGGCTGAGATTTAATGGTGAGGATTAGCAGAATAGGTGGCACCCTAGGGTTTAGAAGCTACAAAGGAGAGCCCTAAAATGGATGGTGGAGATTAGAAGGAGTGGATAATGGAGATTTCACATATGGGGTGGCTAGGGTTAGGTAAGGGGAAAAAGATTAGGTTAAAAAGGCTCCCTAGGGTTTGCTAACGAGAGGGAAGCATGGTAATACAATAGGATGGGCGCCAACTGGGTTTAGCAGATAGGAGGCGACCTCCTGTTCTCAGTTCTTTACAAAAACACCCCCTCTCTCAGCTGGACTTCACACCAGCTTCCCAAAAACTGCATTTCAGCCATGAAAACTTCCTAGTTTTCTACATAATTTGCACAGAGACCCTCAGAGGTCACATAATTGATTTTAACTAGGAAAATGGTGCACTTTGACTACTCTTAAGGCCGAAAATACCCCTGAATTGATGCCCTTAAGGCATCAAAATGCAGGGTTATCAGATATCTTGCTGCTGGGCCGAACAGTGGTAGTGGGCCGAGCTGTGTTCCTATCACTCTCAATGAACATAGAAAACATATGCATATTTGTTTCTCATTTTTTTTGATAAATAACTTAAATTTATTAATTCCTTATAAACAGTATATGTACAGTGTGTTATATATCATTGCATAGAAAATAATGCTTCTCTTTCCCATGAGATCATCATTAGAACGAGCAAGGATTGGCTGAATGCGATGGCTGCTCAGCGGGCTGTGGAACCAATGATAGTGTTCCAGACCAGTAATAAAATACATGGGACCCACACCTTTTACAGTGGGGCCCATGAATTTATTACTGGCGTGGATCACCATCAATGGTTCCACAGCCCACTGAACAGCCATTGTGTTCAGCTAATCCCAATTCCATTCCTTTCAGCTCAAAATAATTGATTTCTAACCATCCTTATCCTTGGTTTGCCAATCCATGAGCCATAGAGTTGGCTGATCTTTGTATCCTTTGCACCTGCACGCCCATCCCTTCTATTAACCATTTGAACTTGATTCATTCCTAGATCCATAGTCACCTCCTTGTTCTGCAGCCATCCCAGCACCAATATCCTTTGCTGAGAAAGGTAGGAAAAGGTCATGATTTGATTCATTGCACCACTCTAATAGTTTTATATTCAGTGACTGCCTCCATGGTTCTTACATTCTCCTCAAAGATTCTTGTGTCTCTTTCTTCTGAAATTGTCTAGTTGCTCTTGTCACCCTCCACATCATGCTTCCTCTTGTCTTTGGATATCTGAAAGTTGGGAGGAGAAAAAGCACCTCCCATGGTTGTTTGATCCCTCCACCAGCTTTGCAAAGAATGTTCTTTCAAGAGATCTACTTGTTTTTTCTTTTTCTTATGATCCATTCAATAATATGATGTATTTGTTTTTTCTTTAAACCTCAAGATTAATTAATAGAGGTTCCATTTTTTGTTTTTTGTTTAAAGGTTCTAAGATATACAGAAGGCTTATGTTGGGTTATGCACTATTACTATGAAGGTGTTTGCTCATGGCAGTGGTAAATGTTTTCTTGACTTTTTCTCAAGTTTATTTTAAATCTGTGCATTTCTTGTATCTGTGTATCAAATTAAAAATCTCTTAGGACTTCAGTACAAATTTATTTTTTTCTTATTTTTTTGAGAAAAGGTAATGTAGTTTAGATTTCAGATTTAGATACATGCAGCATGCATGCATGTATTTATTTATATATGCATCAAGCAAGAAGCCTGCCTATTTTTGTTTTTGCCATGGGGATTGATGATGTAGCCATTCTAAGCTGTCCAGAGGGTAGAGGACCCACATCGGTCAAACTTTAAACCTCTGTGTATTTCATCCATATATGTGTATGTATGCATGCATCAAATAAAGAGCTTTTCTAAATGACATCTCATTTTCATGTCAAGATGTAGCCAATCCAAGCCATCCACCTAGTGGTGGATCCTCTGGATTGGGCCGATTGGCCATCTTTCCAAATCTCTGCCATCCTTGTATCCCACTTTTTAGAAGTATTGTTTTTTCTAACTAATAATATAAACAAGTGTGTGTGGGTTTGATTATGATGCCGGAAAGACATGATACTAGAAAAACCGACAACAAATCAATCGACATCATAAAAGTAGTAACCAATCAGGTAGGTTTTCATCAAAATTCATGGTGGGTTGTGATTGGTCAAAGCCTTTCTGGTATCATGTCTTTCTGGCATCATAGATTTTCCCATATTTATAATTTCAACACATGTAAAATTACACAAATATATCTTTCAAATGCTGAGGTGCGATGTTAGGTGTTCCATTATCTGAAGGCATCAACATCATGAGAATTGGTTTATAATTAATGGATAACTAAACATAGTATATAAAAGGTCAAATTGAAAATGCACTGAATCGAGTGTAATACCAGAACAGGTTTCATGTAGCTGACTTTTATGGTTGGTCAAGGCTTTGTTCACTAGAGAATATTTTTATTGATGAATAATAGGAACTGATTTATTAGAATAATAAAGAAAGCGTACAAAAGGGACAAGGCTTCTTCAAATCAAGTTCCCAATTTTGTTTATTACCTGTTGCTTTTTCTCTTCCAATTTTTCAAACTATTGGGTGTTACAGTCTTTAATTTTGTACTTAGGGTCCTTCAATTTCCAATGAAACTTAATGCTTGCCATTGGCCCTAGGATTGCTACCTTCCTACCATTCCTTCTCCTTCTCTACAAATCCCCTGTTACACAGCCACATAGTTTCAAATCTGATAGGAATTGGATCCCTCCCACCTTCGTTTTCTGTAAAGATAGATATTGGCCAATGATCCAAGGTTGACTCCTGGTAATGCTTTTGACCTGATGCTCCCTCAATGTTTTTTTTCCTCGATAGATATTGGTGAATGATTCTCCCCTAGTGTTCCTCCCAATCCATAGTGAAGAAGAATCTATCCAATTTGTAGCAAATTGGGTTAGCCTGCAAATTTGACCAAGTAAATTTGTTGTAGGCCAGGGCCAATTCCTTGAGTTCAAACCTGTCAATGAACTAATTGAACTTCCTTATGCTTGTACTTATTCTCTGCCTTGGGTTATTTGATTCACCCCTGAATCTAATCACATTGAAGGCTCCTCCCAAACACTAAGGCCCATCCCATATACCCTTCTATCTTCCAACTCCTACAATTCATTCCTCTCCCTATATCTATTGGGGCCATAAACTTAAGTTAAAACCCACTCAAAGCCATCTTCAACTTGTCAGAATTTAACTAAAACTGTAAATTTGCCAACAAGTTCTTCAACTCCAAGCACAAAGTCATTGTTCCAAATTGTCACAGTGCCACCCGAGGCACCCCAAGATGGGGACATTGCCCAACTAATGCCCCTAGCTCTCCAAATGATTTTAGCGTACCTTCTATCAAAATCTTCCAATTTTGATTTCTGAATTAAAACTACATATGGATTTTCTCTCCTAAGCATCTCTTTAATGATGGCTCTTTTTCTAGCCCTCCCCAAACCTCTGACAATCCAACTAACAATCTTCATAACACTGCCTAATTTCAAAAAACCCCTTAACTCTGAACCATCTATTTGTTTACCTTGACCCTTCCCCTTCCTTGCACTATATTCCTTGTCCCAAATATATCTTTTCTCAATCTATCAAGTGTCAGCCTCACTCATGACTCATCTTCCTTTTCCTAACTTTGCCTTCTTCCTTACATTTCTTTAGGAAAACTTCCAAACCATTGTGGTTATTCGGCTTGCACTTAGCTTAGAAGCAATGTCAGCTACTAAATCTCTTGTCTTATCACCAACTTCCTCCTCTCTTGAAATATCAGAGATACCTCCTGAATTTCCTTGTGGGACCACTAACTTTTCCCCTTCTCTACTTTCCTCAGAATCTCTCCCATGTACTAATTCTTTCCTCTTGAGATCCTCCAACATACTTTCAATCAACTCCCAAAGTTTTCTCGCCTTTTTGGTCCTAAATTCTCTATGCACCCCATCCCCATCATTCTTATCTTCAGCCTTTTTGACAACAATACTTGACTCATTTGGGGGGCAATGAGCAGTCGGAATAGGAACGCTTGGAGCCTCTCCAAGAGTAAGCATTTGGATCTTGCCATTCATCCCAAATGGGGCTGCTGCTTGGGAGCCAACTGAAGATGCATTTATCCTTTGACCACTTCCACTGATTTGTTGCTCATCCCTTCCTAGATTCCCCATACATGGCCTCAAGCAAACCTCCACTACTTCCATACGGATATCCTACTTTGTGTTAGAATTTGGTTATGGTTTTCCTTTGTTGAGGACTTGTGGTTTAGGTTATCCACACCACCATCTATCCTGAGTGCACACTTGCCGCGGTTCTAACAAGCACCTCGGCTTGGGACAATGACAAACCCAATCTTTCATCCAAAGTCCAAGGCCCCACACGATTCTTAAGTTATTGCTAGCATAAGAGTCAGAATGTAACTTTCCGTGAGAACCAAGCTAGTTACTAACGCGATTCTCATCCTGGCAAGTTGTACCATTGCATCCTTCCAAGTTCTTTGAATCCTGACCACTCCTTGGGCCCCGCATTGAACCAGACTGTTCACCACTGCCTCCTCGTTTTGAAACAAATCACTTGGCATATTTCCTTTCCCCATGCTCTGCTCATTATGGCCCCCAGCTTCCGACTGTTCAGCTTCCTTGCCATGTCATCATCTCCTTCGTTCTCCCAAATCTATCCCCAAAGTGACACATCATATTCTGTTGCTAACTAGACCCTGCTCCAGAGCCCACCATGGAAGACATTGATTGAATGAGGAACTTCTTCAAGTTTCAGCCCAGCCACATCGATCACCACTGCTTGGAGATCGGTTGTATCAGCCTCCACAAGCACTCCACCCAGCCTTGTAACAATTTTGTTAAGGGGTTCCACTTGCCATAGATTAAATATGAGACCAAGGAGTTTGATCTTATGAACTTCAACTTCCAGATCTCAGCCGTTGCACAATGGAGACCATTTTTCAATGAAACAAGTCCATGATCAGTTTCAACAGATGCAAGGTTTACCACTCTATTACCAGCATCAGAATTGCTCTCATTTTATCAAATGGAAGAATTTTCAGACCTGTTGATGTGCCAAGTTTAGCCGAGATGGCAGTCTGCATCAAACCTTCACCTCTCTACCAGCTTTTAGTAAATTTTTTATCTCCTAATCTCTCCTATCAGGTTCCAGAATCATTTTATGTGATTTAATCTAGTATATCACCTCAATGTTTTGGTTAGGCACTACAGGTCTTCTTGGATCAGCCTTAGCTTCTTTTTTCCGTCAAGTCCTCTTCCACATTATCAGAAGCTGGGTTAAATTGCAAGCACTAGGTCTCTTTCACCTTACCTGATTTGGTCTTTTTCTTCAACAAAAAATTCTGCAACTTTTCTGAAACCAACTTCCACCTTTTATCCTGATTACATTCAGGAAAACAGATGGATTGTTTCTTATTGTTAATGAAGAACTCTGAGATGGCAATGAACCATCTTTCTGATTTTGCTTCAGCTCAACTTCGTATTTCCTTCTTGGCATCTCCAATCCGCACTTCCATCCCACATTCTTGATGGAATAAAGTGCTGCATTGATGAAACCTTTAAGCCTGAGTAGCCTCATCCAGGAGGAACTCAGTTGCTCTTTTTTCTTCTGTGATCTTTAATGACAGCTGCCCTCTACTTTTTCCTTCATCCATGGCTAGCATTTTTTGCTTCAGTCACCAGTTCCTCTTGTCATCTTGTTGCTGGAATGAAAGCTTCTTCTCTCCCCTCTCTTGCCATCTCTACCTTACTTTTTCCACCACATTCCCCCAGTAGAATAAAAAAATAGTGTATCCTTTCTTGTCCTCCATTTCCCTAACATATTCCCCAGATTGATCCCTCTAGACCATTCTTATTACACACTAAAGTATGAGAAAATATGCAAAGTGCACTCATTAAAGTGGAATCTAATAGCTATATGCCTCTTGTATAATGCGTATAAGAATTTATCTGTTGTAGAGGAAAGAGGTTGGGACAATATCTATCTTGCTAACATGAACCCATTTTTTTGCCATGTACCTATTCGAGCTCGGCTCGGTTTAAACTGAGCTTCGATCCGAGCTTGAAGCCAATTTACAGGCTTGTTTGCTAATCGAGCTGAGCTTGAGCCTAATTAAGCTCAGCTCGTGAGACTTGCAAGCCTAATCGAGATTCTACATATATGTATACATACATATATAATATTTATATATACAATTTTTTTTTTTATTTTTATATATAACAATAATAACTAATTATTAATTTTTAAATATCAAATAAAAAATAATTTTTTATATATAATTTTTTACTTTTATAAGGCATTTGACTCATAGTCGAGCTTGAGCTTATAAGCTTTTAACTCAAGCCGAACTCGAGTTCATGTCTTTAGCTTGAACCGAGCTCAAGCCTTATACTGTCTTGGCGAACTGAGCTCGAATAGCTAGACATTCGGCTCAGCTCGGCTCTAATCCACCCCTATGGACCAGCCATCAGGT